TATCAGTTCTTCACAGATTCTTCCAAAAAACCAGAGGAAATACTTTCAAACTCCTCTTAAGAGGCCAGCATTATTACAACACCAAAGCCAGATAAGGATATTATAGGAAAATAAAATTATAGACCAATATCCCTGATGAACTGGATGCAAAAATCCTCAATAAAATACTAGCAAACCAAATTCAACAATACATTCAAAGAATCATACACCATGACTAAGTGGGATTTATCCCTGGGATGCAAGGATGATTTCACATACACGAATCAATAATGTGATCTATCACAAAACAAAAAGAAAGATAAAAACCATATGATTGTCTCACTAGATGTAGAAAAGAATTGACAAAATTTAACATATTTTTATGATAAAAACTCTCACCAAATTAGTTATAGAAGGAATGTACCTTAACACATTAATGGACATGTATGATAAACTCACAGCTAACATTATACTCATTCCTTACTTCTTTTTAAAACTGCATGCTATCTCATTTTACAGATGTACTATAATTTATTTAACAAGCCCTATGTTGATACACACATAGGTTCTTTCTCCATTTTTAAAACTACTTATTTACTGAAAAATTCACATTACTTTGCAGTAGATTGCCCTGAATTGTGATGATTACATCCCTGACATGTTGTTCTGCATTTTCTTTTGTTTCTTATGTTTCCTGTGAATTAGGAGCTAGATTTTAGAGGCCTGATCAGATTTCAGTTTGATTTTCTAGAAGGATTATTCTTGGCTGATGTTTTATACTACAACCATCTGGTATAACATCTGGTTGAATCCCTTGATTTTAGCAGCAATTGAGGAGCAATGTCTCTATCCATTAATTCATTAGAAATTGCAAAATGGCTGTATTCTAATTCTATCATACCCCCTTGGTTTATAGGCTTGAATAAAAAGAAACTTACTCTTCTCCCCTACTTGGTTACTCTCAGACATAGTTCATATAAGAAATGTAGAGTAAATGGTTCTTTCCCTTTATTTACCAGTTTTCAGAGTAATGAGTTGGTTCCTTAATGTCGTTTAAAGGTGGCCAATGAGTGTTGTTGTTGTTTTCTCTTTTTAAGTATCCCTTCAACCTCAAGGATTTAAACATATCTGACATCTTTCAACCAATTATGTCTTTAGCAACTTTCATTTTTTCCTTCTTTGGCAGGGGGAGACTCTTTAAGTTGACTCATGGGTGCTTTTGATACAATCTTCGTGATTCTTGATAGCTTACTTGCTTTATGATGTAACTAGATATTCCAGACTCATCTGGACATTTTCTGTCTTGAACCTGGAATCAGACATTTTCCTAATTGGTCCAGTTTCTTTTATGGGTAAATGATATTTCAATATTTAGAATATGTCAGATGGATGCTTTGCTAGTAGACTGGTTAGTTTTCCTTCCATGGGGTCAAAAAAGCCCTGATTGCCTGATGCCAGAATTGGTATATTTGTGGGTTACATTTTTCTGTAAATTGTTTAAAGAAAAGAAACGTGCAAAAAAATATGTGCAAATTAGTCTTCTGTATTTCCTGCTGAAATCTGATGAAAAAGTAACCAGTTGAAGGTTCAAGAGAAAAGCTCCACGGCTCAAGTACTTCTCTGTGGTACTAAGTAAGTCATTTTACTAGAATAAGTCATACATAATTTCTTCTACTTCAAAATAATGGTTATATTACCTATCACAGCCTCTGTGAAGACCAATATTGAAAGTACTTGATAAAAATAGCTAACGTTTTACAGGGTTTATTTTTGTTTATTTGTTTTTATGGAGACTGCTTTGCACTCCTTTTTAACCAGGTCTCTTAAGTTGATGTTCACAGAAGGGTATCAGGGACGTCTGTGAATCAGGCATGTGGATATGTGCATGCACGCACACATGAACACAGATGCACAGAAAAACGGAAACATGCACACATACACAGCAATTCTTTTTTGATTTTTCCGAATCATCTTGGTATACACATTACTTTTATGTCTATTATAAGTTGCTCCTGTCGACAGGCAGTGTATAATCATCAGTGTGGTCATGATATTCAGAACAGCTTCCCAATGGTAGAGATTAAAGAATATGCATCTTGCCATTATGATGAGCTTCTGTCTTTGTTTACTTTAGGATTGACTTAAGCTGTGAAAGAAATAAAGCAGAAATATCAAATATATTTTTGCTTTGCTTTCTATTGTGTGATTGAACATCAAAGCCCAGGTGCTTTATTATATTGTTCTTGTTAGTGGAAGAAGCATGAAACCAAAAATACTGCCGATTATAATTTTTGTTCCAAAAATATATTCATGTAGATCTATCTTAAGGGAAGTCTAGAGTTGAAAAGGCAAAACTTTACCAAAATTTGGTCTGCCTTGATGCAATAGCCTAGTCTTTAAATAGCAACAAGGTCATTGGTAAATGCTGTGTACCCCAGAAATGGTCAAATTCACATGTTGTTTAGAGCAGAGGAAGCAGGTTAAAGTAATGCAACACATCTCTGAGTTTCATTGTTTTGGAAGAGGAAATACCTTTATGCAGTAAAATCTGACCCATTGCTTTCTATGGTCCCGCTTGTCTATAGCAAGGTGTCAACTAGTGCTAGAGCCTTTAATTATTGACTTTTCAGTAGGTTCTCCCATGAAATGAAAGAAGAATATGAACTTCTCCTTTACAGATGAAACTCAGTGATGTGAATCCAGCAGAAATTAAAGTACGTACATCCAGTTCAGATGATCTTGAAATATCATGGTGTTCCCTCATCACAAGCCCATTGTATTGTGTGTGAACATGAACTGATTGTTTGCTACAACATGCTGTTGTGAACTCAGCTTTTCAGTGTGTGTTGCCACCAAAACAGAAAGTCTACAGGAAAGTGCATACATTGCCATGTTGAAGAACATTCTATAATTTCAGATTCTGGTTCAAGCTAAGGGAGAGATGCCTTCTCGTTGAAGTTTAGTTTTTAGCAAAGCCAGAGTTAATTTTTAAATAGTATTTGTACACTATAGATTTCTTCTTTTTCTTTCTAGTTTTAAAAATATTGCCCGAAACTAATTTTGCATGCAAAACTTTATTTTAAAAAAGCACAATTCTTTAGAAAAAGTATTTTGATCCAATGCAATAAAATAAGTTGCACACATAATTTTGCTTTATAATTTTATATAAATGCCTTCCGGAAGAGAAACTATAGCTTTCATCAGATTCCCAAAGCCTCCATAATGTCAAAGGGTTGAGAACAATAGCATAAGAATAAGACTATCCTGAGTGAAGAGCCAACTTGGTAACCTGCTCTCTCCCCACAGCATCTAATTCCCAAGGGTGTTGGCCATGGTAGCCATGGTTTTCCCATTCCCTAAAGAATGCTGACCACAGGGACAGAGTTGGCTGAATGAACAGGAATATCTATGGATTTTAATTTTGAAACTGAGTGCAAATTTTTATCCCTTATCAAGAGAAAAAAGAAATCCTCTTTATTTAGTATCCTATGGATTGAAGACTACACATCTGACTGGGATGATGTAAAACAAAAATTTATTTCCTTTAGTTGATATCACAAAATCTTGGGCTAGAATATGTTTCTTTACTCGCAGTGCAGTTCTACACTAGATGCATCTAAGTCAAAGTCTTTAACAATAAAAATAAACATTATTAGGGTATTGATATTGTAATTGGATGAACTCTGTTTCCTCAAACTTCATATGTTGAAGTTCTAAACCCCTCGGTGCCTCGAATGTGACCTTATTTGGAAACAGAATCTGTACACAGGTAGTTAAGTCAAAATGAGGACTTTAGGGTGGACACTATTCCCATACGACTGGTGTCCTTACATCAGGAGGCAATTTGGATGCAGAGAGGGACACATAGATGACACAAGGAGAAGATGGTCATGTGCAAGGCCAAGGAGAGAGGCCTAGAACAGATCCTTCCCTCATGGCTCTCAAAAGAAACCAATTCTGCCAACACCTCGATCCAAGACTTTCACCTTTCTGAACTGTGAGAAAAGTAGTTTCTGTTGTGTAAGTCACCCAGCCTGCGGTACTTTGTTATGGCCTCCCTAGCAAGCTAATACAAATATACAGAATAAATCCCAGGGACCTCAAGCTAAAGGACCACGGAGGAAACACCACTGGGGCACAAAAACACATATGACTTATTAATCCCTATGACCACTGCCTGGAGGAAGGAGAGACGTCTTAGGACTTGAAATAGACCAGCAGCTCTGAGGTTCTATGTTTTAAGTTTCCAAAACAGAACTCTGAGGCAAGGGGAAAGAAAGAGGGTGTCAGGAACATCTGCTCGTTAGAACGGGTCAGGCATTCAAGTACAACTGCTCATGGCTTTAACAGGAAGGTGAAAGGAAATTGTGGTGGTCCTTTCTATCCTCTGCAAATCAGAGTCCTCAGTGGCATCAAAGAAAGCAAAGAATTCTAGTTCTTTTCCTTTACGTCTTTTTTTGATTTATTTTCTTCTTTCCACTCATTCTCTTTTCTTCTGTCCCTCTGTCTTGATTGTAAGCAGACAAGAAAAGAGAAATGCCCAGTTTCTCTAAATTTCTTGGATGAATTTTATTGATGGGATTTCATTTTTAAATTCTTAACCACTCCATGTCAAATTGTAATTTCATCAAAACATCAGTATCTTGCACAGAATGTTTGCATTTAAACAATCCTGGCAGTTTTACACATGAAACAGATTATATGTGATCGTGTACTCTAAGCCTGGGAATACTGATCGGCAAGCTATTGAGTCCTGGAATACAAATCCTGAAGCCAGCATTGAGGATTCCTGTAAGATTATAGTGTTCATCAAATTCAAAGGAAACTACTATTCACTAAGTATAGTAATTCAGGAAGAACTTTCCAAAAATGCCTTTCAATAAGGGAATTCTTTTCAAAGATTTATTCAGTCTAAAAAGCACACTTTAAAATGGACATGTTGTTCATTTCAGCTAACATGGAGACTAACAAATTCACTACAGAAGAACTCATGGTAAGAAATAAAAATATTAGCAAAGATCATTGTGGCAGACAGTGTGGAGGATGGGACATTGTCGGAAATGAGGTAAGGTTCCCCTTACCCACTGTTAGGATAACTGGTTTCTGACTTTAGTGAGGCCTCTATACAAATACCTTCAGCAATACACACATCAACTGCATGAATGCCTTTTACATCAACTGTCTTCGTACAATTCATGTTGGTATAGCAGCTGCAATCAAAGTTTTCAGAAAATTGCTCCAGGTCTGCAAGTGTGGGTTTTCCGTTTATAGTGTACAGTCCACCCTTCTCCATTTGAATAACAAAATTCACTGGGTTCAGGTGAAGATAGTCACTTGAATTCCACTGTTTCCTTACACACACTCCTTGCCCCTGGCAAAGCGCTTGGCTACACATTTTGGCCGCTAGAGTGATGTTGATTATGTAAGGATTCAATGTATCCTTCACGTAATCTTCTAGGTCCTCGCAAGTTACCTGCAAAATTGTAAGATAGTCAAAATATAAAGGGACAAGTAATTTTAAGTAAGAACAAAGAACAGGTACAGAAAGAGGTAGGAATTCTTGTGTCTTTTTTTTAACCTCAACAAGCAAGATTATTCCAACTGTTTTTTGTAATATTTGTAAGTTTCACATGCTGTTTCATGCCACTGAATAATTGGCTAATTGAGACTTAGCATACCATAGCCTTAATCTTACTCATCAACTCATTAACAAATTAGGGGGACAGAATAGTACGGCTGTTAGAATAAGGGTGATGGTGTCCATTTGCCCTGAGTGGAGTCCCAGTTACATCAATGACTAGCTGCATGAACTTGAGGCTTTCTCAAGGTTTTTAAGTCTTAGTCTCCTATCTGGGTGACCCTGGGCAAATTAATTAACCTGGTTGTGCTTTATCTTCATGATCTGTAAAATAGGGATTATTATGGTGCCTACTTCATAGTCTTGTGAAGATGAAATTATACAATGCATAGAAAAGGGCTTACACGGACCTAGCACATCTTCAGTTAACACTCAATAAATTGTAAATCAACGTAATAAGCACCACATTTGTCAGACAAGTTTAAATAGCACTGAAAGAGTGACTCCTAAATGCTGGCTCAAAACAACTAAACATGTTCAACTGAGTATACTTTGTGTTAAATGTTATGTATAGTCAAGTTACAAGTGAATAATGACAGCTCTTTGACAAATTTGGCAGAGTATGAGTGCTGGGTACTGAAATGATTAACCTTGAGACCAGTATGTTCTAAAATCTGGACAATGTGCTTTTTAAAATATTTAAGGTT